GTCTCCCCCGCTCCCTCCCTCCCCTACCACCGGGGCCTGCCCCTACCTGCGTTCCTTGCGTCGAGGGGCGGCAGCGCACCGCCCCTCACTCCTCCGAGTTTCCTCCGACAGAGGCTCCGCTGCAGACTCTTCACATGGACGTGTGGGGCCCCGCCCGCGTCCGTGGCCAGGGTCACGAGCGTTACTTCCTGTTGGTGGTTGACGACTACTCGCGTTACACCTGGTGTTCCCCTTGCGCAGCAAGGGTGACATCACTGAGGTGTTGATCGACTGGATCCGCGCAGCTCGTCTCCAGCTCAGAGAGAGTTTCGGCTTGGACATTCGTGTTCTGCGTCTGCACTCTGACAGAGGCGGGGAGTTTTCCTCTGCCCGTCTGGGAGCCTTCTGTCGTGCACAGGGCATCCGCCAGACCTTCACGCTTCCGGCCTCTCCACAGCAAAATGGGATTGCTGAGCGCCGCATTGGCATGGTCGTGGACGTCGCTCGTACGTCCATGATCCATGCGGCTGCCCCCCATTTTCTGTGGCCGTTTGCGGCTCAGTACACAGCGCATCAGCTCAACCTTCAGCCGCGGGTCTCCTTGCCAGAGACCTCCCCCACCTTGCGGTGGACGGAGAAGGTTGGCGATGCGTCTGCGTTTCGGGTCTGGGGATCTCGGGCGTTTGTCAGCGACTTGTCTGCGGACAAGCTGTCCTCCCGTGCTGTTCCCTGCGTCTTCCTTGGCTTCCCCCCTGACGCGCCTGGTTGGCAGTTTTACCACCCCACCTCGCGCCGTGTTCTGTCCTCCCAGGACGTCACCTTTGACGAGTCGGTGCCTTACTCCCGTCTCTTCCCCTACCGCACTGCGCCCCTCCCCCCGCCGCCGCTCTTCCTTGCGCCAGGTCCTCCCCCGGTAGACCCCCTCCCCCCTAAGGGTCCTGCCCCTTCAGGTGTGTCCCAGGTAGACGCAGTCGAGCCTATCAAGGTAGCTGTTGATTCTGGTGCTGCTAGAGGGGCTGAGCCTACGGGTGCCGGGTCTGGAGGTGCTGAGCCTGGGGGTGCGGAGCCTGGGGGTGCTGGGTCTAGGGGTGCTGAGCCTGGGGGTGCTGTGTTTGGGGGTGCTGAGCTTAGGGGTGCTGAGCCTGGGGGTGTGGAGCCTAGGGGTGCTAGGTCTGCTGGTGTGGCCTCTCGCGATGATTCGTAGAGGCGGGAGCTACTCTCTCCGCAGGAGCTGCGCGAGTGGTTTGCACGGCGCTGGAGGCGTGCTGCTGGAGCTGGAGGTACTACCATTGCTGCTGGTCCTGGAGGTGCTCGTACTGGCGGTACTGGAGCTGCTGGGAATGGGGGTGCTGCTAGGGGTGCTGGAGTTAGTCCTGCTGGAGGTACTACTGGAGGTGCTGGCCGTACTGGAGCTGACGGTGCTGCTGGAGCTGCTGGAGCTGGAGCTGCTGGGGGTGTTGGCGCTGGTGGTTCTTCTGGCGCTGGTGCTTCTGAGGGTGCTGGAGTTGACGGTGCTGCAGCTCGGGGTGCTACTGGTGCTCGTACTGCCACTGGGGGTGCAGGTGCTATCCCTGCTGGCTCTGGAGGCGCTGCGCGGCCGCGGCCGTACTTCGTTCCGCTCCTTGAGCAGGTTCATGGTCTCCCGCCCCCTACTGGTCCTGCTCCTCCGTCAGAGTGTCCACAGCCTATCCAGTCGCGGTCGAAGTTACAGCCCGCCTCCCCCCTACCTGCTCCTTCTCCCTACACTGGTCCTACTGGAGGTCTTGCTGAGCGTCGTGAGCCTGCGTCTCGTCCTGCGTCGCCTGTTCGTGCTGCTTGCACTAGTAGTCGTGCTCCGCGTCCGCGTCCTCCTGCGGTCCCAGGCACACACCAGATGGCACTGCGTCCTTCCACTGCTCCTCTGCATGTCCCGTTGCCGTCTCCTCCAGAGTCCTCTCTTCTTCTCCTTGCTGACCCGGAGTCTGACTCTCTTCGTGCTTCCAGTCCTACTGTCACACGTCTCCTGGCTACTGTTGTCACTGACCCTTCCTTTGAGTCCACTGCTGCGTCTGCCTTCGTTGCTGAGCTTGTCAACTTTGATGCTTGATGTTGTCTAGACTACGCTACTAGTCTCGTTGCTGAGTCTGAGTCTGTCTGTCCTCCATTCGTCGGGGGTGAGTGTGCTCTTAGCACGGACGTCCTTGAGGACAGGCAGGAGGAGTTTCAGTGTTATGCTGCTGCTTTGCCTCATCTCGTGTCCACGCTGATTGCCCCTGAGGGAGACCCGGATGCACCAGACATCCCGACTCCTTGATCGTACGCTGAGGCAATTGAGGGTCCCTACTCCTCACAGTGGCAGTCAGCCATGGACACAGAGATGGCTTCCTGGAAGTCCACAGGCACCTACGTCGACGAGGTTCCCCCACCTGGGGCGAACATCGTCAGTGGCATGTGGATTTTCAGGGTGAAGCGGCCGCCGGGTTCTCTGTCTGTCTTCAAGGCGCGTTATGTGGCTCGAGGCTTCAGTCAGCGGCAGGAAGTTGACTACTTTCAGACCTTCTCTCCCACCCCGAAGATGACCACTCTTCGGGTGCTGCTGCACATAGCCGCTCAGCGCGACTACGAGCTTCACTCTCTTGACTTCAGCACAGCTTTCCTGAAGGGCAGCCTGCACGAGGAGGTCTGGCTGCGCCGCCCACCTGGCTTCACTAGGTCGTTTCCTCCTGGTAACTAGTGGAGCCTCCGGCGGCCAGTCTACGGCCTCCGCCAGGCGCCCCGTGAGTGGCACGACACACTGAGGACTACACTTGCGGCTCTTGGGTTTGCTCCTTCTACTGCCGACCCGTCGCTGTTTCTGCGCACCGACACCTCTTTGCCGCCGTTCTACATCCTTGTGTACGTCGACAACTTGGTCTTTGCCACTGCTGACACTGCTGGACTCGCCCACGTGAAGTCCGAGCTGTAGAAGAGACACACGTGCACAGACCTGGGTGAACTGCGCAGCTACCTTGGCTTGCAGATCACCCAGGATAGAGCACAACGCACCATTACCCTGACTCAGTCACACATGGTGCAGCAGATCCTTCAGCGCTTCGACTTCACGTACTCCTCGCCTCAGGCCACTCCTCTGTCTACTCGCCACTCGCTCTCAGCTCTGCCTTCGGATGAGTCTGTAGAGCCGAGTGGCCCGTACCCAGAGCTTGTTGGCTGCCTCATGTACCTGATGACCTGCACACGACCTGACCTAGCATACCCTCTTAGTATCTTGGCACGCTATGTTTCTCCTGGGAGACACCGACCAGAGCACATGGCTGCAGCGAAGAGGGTGTTGCGCTACCTGTGCAGTACATCGGGCATGGGGCTAGTGCTTAGAGGGCGACGTCTCGTGGTCCTCACCGATCACGCTGACGCTTCTTGGGCTGACGACCAGGCTACGGAGCGGTCGTTACAGGGTTACGCCTTCAGCCTTGGCTCTGGCTCTGTTTCGTGGCGCTCTACTTGCTCGTCTTCTGTTCTCGGCTCCAGCTGTGAGGCTGAGATCTACGCGGGGGCCATGGCTGCACAGGAGCTACGCTGGCTCACCTACCTGCTGACTGACCTAGGAGAGCCGCCTCGTTCTCCTCCTGTTCTGTACGTAGACAACAAGGCCATGCTGGCCTTATGTCGGGAGCACAGACTGGAGCACAGAACGAAGCACATTGCTCTTCGCTACTTCCTTGCTCGTGAGCTGCAGCAGCGTGGTCAGCTGCGCCTTGCTTACGTGGCCTCTGAGGCCAACACTGCTGATATCTTTACCAAGGCACTTCCTCCTGGTGATCATCAGCGCTTCTGTACGATGCTAGGTCTTGTGCCTACTTGGCCTCACTTGCTCACTTCTTGACCTTACTTGTACTGTGATTATTCTATACCTGCACTTGCCTGTTTACCTTAATATATGATCTTGCATGTGAACTGACCTTTTGGCCTTGCTCTTGTGCTCGGATTGTGTGGTGACATAATGATCCACCTTGAGCTTGCTTTGCTTTGTTTGACTGGTCTTGTGACCTCTTGTTCTCCCCCACTTTGCCTATGGGGGTGTGTCAAACTTATATGCTTTAGTCTGTGTAGGCTGTTATGGGGTAGACTATATGGGGTACAACATTTCTAGGTTTTCCTACTTGTACCCACCTCTTTCCTAGTTCATTCATTCCTCATTCTTCACACCAGAACCTCCAGCTCCAGCGCCACCTATGCCAGCACCTCCAACAGCTCCAGAACCTCTAGCGGCAGTACCCGCAGCAGCTCCAAAACCTCCAACTCCACCGCCACCAGCGCCAGCACCTCCAACAGCTCCAGAACCTCCAGCCCCAGCACCCGCAGAAGTAGCACCCCAAGAATCGGCACCTCCAGCTCCAGGGCCTCCAACCTCAGAGTCGACAGCAGCACCTCCAGGTCCAGCAGTACCTCCATTCCCAGCAGCTCTAGTACCTCCAGTACGAGCACCTCCGGGACCAGCTGCTCCAGGAACTCCAGTAGTAACAACTCCAGTAGCAGAGTCACCAGCTCCAGCGCCTCTTGCAGCAGGGCCCCTAGCTCCAGCAGCGCGACCCTGACGGCTAACGTACCACTTACGCAACTGCTGTGGGGAGAGAGGGACAGCACCGGCTCCAGTGCCTCCAACACCAGCGCCTCCCGCAGTAGGGCCCCCAGCTCCATCAGCTCTACCTTGACGGCTAACGTACCACTCACGCTGCTGCTGTGGGGAGAGAGGGAGACGACGACGAGAGTGCAGCAGCAAGGCACCGGCAGAGCGACTACGAAGACGGCCGCTCCAGAAAGACTGCTCACCAGACGCCTCAGCGCCCTGAGGTGTAGCACCCCCAGACTCAGTACCCCCAAGCTCAGCACCCCCAGACTCCTCACGCCCAGGCTCAGCACCTCCAGGCTTCGCAACCCCAGGCTCAGCACCCCCAGGCTCAACACCCCCAGCCAAGGAAGACATAGGGAACAGCGCGGGCGGAGAGCTTGTCCGCGGTGGTATCGCGGACAAAGGCACAAGAACCCTAGACCCGGAACACCGAGGCATCGCCAACCTCCCCCGTCCACCGCAGTGTGGGTGAGGTCTCCAGCAAGGAGACACGGGGCCAGAGGTTGAGCTGATGCGCGGCGTAGCGGACCGCAAACGACCACAGAAAATGGGGGGCAGCCGCATGGACCATGGAGGTACGAGCGACCTCCATGACCAAGCCAATGCGGCGCTCAGCAACCCCATTTTGCTTCGGAGAGGCCGGAAGCGTGAACGTCTGGCGAATGCCCTCCCATGACAAAAGCTCTGTAGAAGGTTGGAGGAAAACTCCCCACCTCTTTCGGAGTGCAGACGAAGGACGGGAAACTCCGTCCCGAACCGCTCGCGGAGCTGGAGACGGGCAGCGCGGATCAAAGGGATCAAAACATCAGGGACCTCACCCTTGGTGCGCAAGGGGAAGACCGTGGTGTAACGCGAGTAGTCGTCAACAACCAGCTGGAAGTACCGCTCGCGGTCCTGCCCACTGACGCGGGCTGGGCCCCACACGTCCATGTGCAGGGTCTGGAGGGGAGCAGTTGTCGGGGGAAACGAGGAGTGAGGAGCGGCGCGCTGCCGCCCCTCGACACAGGGCAGACAGGGAGGAGCAGGTGAGGGTGGGAGGGGAGGGAGAACCACGGGAAGACCAGAGACAAGGACACGGCGGTGCATGCTACGAAGGCGCTGCACCGAGAGGTGACCAAGACGGTGGTGCCAAAAGACGGTCTGGTGCGATAAAGCGCGACACGAGCAAGGGGCCGCAAGCTGACCTGACGCAGACGCAGACGCAGCGACTTGAGGGGACACAGTAGTCAGTGTGTACAGACTCGATCCAGGCGCACGGGTAAACGTGGCCAGGTGCCGGCCCGTCCGGGAGCACGTAGAGTGGGTCAGTCGATGACCTCCAAGAGTGAACCGGTCAACCCACTGGTCCTGGAGGTCAGCACCACTCACCAAGTTCGTAGAGAACGAGGGGAGGTGAAGACCTGACAGGGAGCCAGACGGGACCGCCGGACATGGCAGGACCGTGGAGGAGTGCGCAAGGACTGGACCCCCAGAGGGGTCTGCCAAGGAGACTGCAACCGGCCGACTGAGCGGCGTGAGGGTGGTGCTGTCGCGAAAGAAGGAGCTGGAAGCACCTGAGTCAAGTGTGAAGGTGTACAAGGCCTCAGCAGGCGTAGAACCAGAGAGAGCAGACTCACCAGCACCTGGAGCAGCACCCTCATCAGCACCTAGAGCAGGAGACGCACTAGCACCTAGAGCAGCAGCCTCACTAGCACCTAGAGCAGGAGACGCACTAGCACCTAGAGCAGCAGCCTCACCAGCACCTAGAGCAGCAGGCTCTATACCTGGGTCAGGCGGTACGCACAGGTAACAGGCATCGTCAGCACTAGTAGGCAATGCATACGTGAGAATAGCATCATAGTCAAGAGCAAAGATATATACCCTCTGCCTAAGCAGCTCCACCCAGGTGGGGAGCTCAGCCTCGTCGCCAAACTCAGTACGCCAGGCGTCGCTCAGACGGGCGAAGCAACGGGACTGTGTATGACCAAGCGTCCCGCAAGCTTCACCAGCCTGATCACCTGTGCGAATGACGTACGGGCTGCGAACGGTACTCCGAGACCCTCTACTCTGAGCGTACCACTCACAAAGCTGCTGGGGCGTAAGTGTCTCGCGCGGACGCCGCTCCTGCTGCAGCTGGCCACTGCCAGACGCTCCCGACTGACCAGCTCCAGGGCGACAGCCACGACGACTACCGCCACAACCCCAACTAGCGTACCACTCACGAAGCTGCTGGGGCGGGAGAGACTTGCGCGGACGTCGCTGGAGCTGCATCTTGCCACCGCGAGTAGCAGCACTAGCGGTAGTAGCAGCAGTAGCAGCAGCACCAGCCTAGTAGCAGTAACAGAAGTAGCAGCAGTAGCAGCGCGGGCAGGGCAGGCACGACAGGCAGGCACGGCAGGCAGGCAGGCAGTTGGCGCGGAAGCGCGCTAACAAGGCAGGCGTGCGGGAAGCGCGGGTAGAGCAGGTGCTCACAAGTGGCGGGAAGGGCAGGCGCTCGTAGGGCGAGCAGGGCCGGCGCTCGGTGGGCGGCGGCAGGGTAGGCGCGCTACGGCGACGACGGCAGGGCCGCAACAGCGGCTGCAGAGTAGGGCCGCGTCAGCTGCACGGCTGGGGCCACGACAGCGATAGGGTAGGGCCGCGGCAGCTGCTGCAGGGCGGGGCCGTCTCGGCGGCAGGGCGGGGCCGTGTCGGCGGCAGGGCGGGGCCAGGCGGGGCCGCGTCGGCGGCCGGGCGGGGCCGCGACAGCGGCAGGGCGGGGCCGCGTCGGCGGCAGGTCGGGGCCGCGACAGCGGCAGGGCGGGGCCGCGTCGGCGGCAGGGCGGGGCCGGGACAGCGGAAGGGCGGGGCCGCGTCAGCGGCAGGGCGAGGCCGCTACAACGACCTGGCGGGGCCGCGTCGGTGGCAGGGCGGGGCCGCGACAGTGGCAGGGCCGCGTCGGTGGCAGGGCGGGGCCGCGACAGTGGCAGGGCGGGGTCGCGTCGGCGGCAGGGCGGGGCTGCGACAGCGGCAGAGCGGGGCCGCGTCAACGGCAAGGCGGGGCCGCGTCGGCGGCAGGGCGGGGCCGAGACAGCGGCAGGGCGGGGCCGCGTCAGCGGCAGGGCGAGGCCGCTACAGCGACCTGGCGGGGCCGCGTCGGCGGCAGGGCAGGGTCGCGTCGGCGGCAGGGCGGGGCTGCGACAGCGGCAGGGCGGGGCCGCGTCAGCGGCAGGGCGGGGCCGCAACAGCGACCCGGCGGGGCCGCGTCGGCAGCAGGGGTGGGCCGCGACAGCGGCAGGGCGGGGCCGCGTCAGCGGCAGGGCGGGGCCGCGTCAGCGGCAGGGCGGGGCCCCGATAGCGGCCTGGTGGGGCCGCATCGGCTGCAGGGCAGGGCGGCGCTCTGGCCTGACGGGCCTGCAAGGGCGGCTCGCGGGCCTGGCGGGCCTGCAGGGGCAGCGCGCGGGCCTTACGGGCCTGCAGGGGCAGCGCGCGGGCCTTACGGGCCTGCAGGGGCGGCGCGCTAGCCTTACGGGCCTGCAGGGGCGGCGCGCTGGCCTTACGGGTCTGCAGGGCGGTGCGCGCTTACCTAGGGCAACAGTAGGCAGCGCGAGGGCTGCAGGATGGTGCGCGCAGGGCAGCACGTCACAAGGCAAGGCAAGGGAAGGCGCGCGCAAGACAACCATGGGGTAGCGCGGTAACCGCAACGGTAGGTGGGGTAGACGGTCCTACGGACCTAGTGCTCTGAAACCATGTTAGAATCTAGTGGCAGGAATGGATTGACTAGATCAGGGTTTGGTACAAATATGAATCCCGCCCTGTGCCGCTGTGCTTAGTCCTGGGCCTCCCAGTGTGGGGGGGTGTCAGTAGAGCTACACTGTGAGATCCCCGATCGATCCTAGGGGGGGTTACAGGCGCCTTTGCTTGGGGGGTTATGGGCGCACTAACCCGCTACTGAAACAAGCCCTTTTATCCCAATGGTCTAGTGGTTGGGATTCTGACATGGTATCAGAGCGGTCTCTGTCAGAACATATAGCTTACTTGTTTCTGTAGGCTATAGTGGGGTATCCCATAGGGGGTACAACCCCATAGGGTTTCCTATTTGTACTCACTTCATTTCATAGTCATTCATTCCTGTTCCTTACTTTCACATGGTATAGAGCGGGTTCCCTGTGGGAACTTCGCCTAGGGCCCACCGAAGCGCGCCCCGAGGCGCGCGATCGTTTTTAGCGACCCCCCCCCGAGTCGCCCTTCCCCATGCGGCCCCGCTGCCCTTCACGCAGCCCCGCCGCCCTTCCTAGCGGTCCCGCCCACCGTTCGAGCGGCCCCGCCTCTCCTTCGCGGCCCCGCCGTCTAGTCGCGGCCCCGCCACCTCCTCGCGGCCCCGCTACGACGCGGCCCCGCCGCCTACTCGGACGCGGCCCCGCCGCCTGCTTGGCCGCGGCCCCGCTGCCTGCTCCGACGCGGCCCCGCCGCCCGCTACAGACGCGGCCACGCCGCCAGCTCAACCGCGGCCCCGCCGCCCGCTACGACGCGGCCTCCGCCGCCTGCTCAGCCGCGGCCCCCCCTCTCTCTACGACGCGGCCTCCGCCGCCTGCTCAGCCGCGGCCCCGCCGCCCGCTACGACGCGGCCCCGCCGCCTGCTCAGCCGCGGGTGCTCCCAGCGGCCCGCCGCTGCACCCTACGGCCCGCCGCCTCACCTGACGGCCCGCCGCTGCACCCTACGGCCCCACCGCTGCACCTGCCGGCCCGCCACTGCTCCCTACGGCCCACCGCTGCACCCTGACAGCCCCGCCGTCCCTTGTCCCGGCCCCGCCACTACACTGCAGCCGAGCCGCCCAGCAGCAGCCAAACCGCCCAGCAGCAGCCGAGCCGCCCAGCAGCCGAGCCGCCCAGCAGCAACCGAGCCGCCCAGCAACAGCCGAGCCGCCCAGCAGCACCCGAGCCGCCCGAGCCGCCCGAGCCGCCCGAGCCGCCCGAGCCGCCCGAGCCGCCCCAGCAGCCCGAGCCGCCCGAGCCACCTGAGGAGCCGTGCTGCTGTTCCTGAGCTGTGTTCCTCTGCTGCAGACCTACCCGACTCTCCTAGCCCGGTGAGAATTTGAGCTGCTGCCATGGCCACCCCCAATGTTCTTACTTTTGACGCTGAGGGGAGGGCCATTGACTTTGCCGTCTGGATTGAAGACCTGCAGCTGTTCTTACTGTGTGATGCGATAGATGAGGTCTCTCTCTTTGACTTTGTCTCTGGCGCTGTCCCTGCCCCGCCTGCTGATGCTGACTCTGCTCCTCGCTCCAAGTGGGCGACCCGCGATGCTGCTGCACGTCTTGCTGTGCGTCGCCACCTCCCTTCCTCCGAGCGTGCCCACTTTAGTCAGTGCAAGACCGCTCAGGCCTTGTACGACGCTGTAGTTGCACGCTACTCCTCCCCTTCCTCCGCTACCCTTAGCCGCCTCATGCTACCGTTTCTCTTCCCTGACCTCACTTCCTTTCCCACTGTTGCTGACCTAGTTACCCACCTCCGCGCTAAAGACACCCGCTACCGTGCTGCCCTTCCTGCTGAGTTCCGCGCTGCGAACCCTCCTCCCATGTACATCACTCTCTACTTTCTCGTCACCCGTCTCCCTGAGTCCCTTCGTGTCGTTAGGGACCAGTTTCTCTCTGTCTGTCCCACCACTCTCACTGTCGACCTCCTTGAGGAGTCCCTGCTAGCGGCTGAGAAGAGTATTGTCGCTGTAGGGGCCTCTCGGGGTGACCCTCGCACCCCCATCTTTGAGGGGTGTGGTCCTTCCCCCCTGCTGCCCTCTGTCGCCTCTGCCGCTGCGGCCGACCTTGCTGGTTTTGAGTCGGTCGGCGCGGCGTCTGCCCCCAGCGGCAGACGCCGCACTGGCAAGGGCAAGGGGGGCAAGGGAGCGGGTGGAGCTAGAGGGGGCGGTGGAGGAGGCGGTGGGGGTGGAGGGGGGAGTGGGGGTGGCGGTGGGGGTGGTGGCGGGAGTGGAGGTACAGGTGGCAGCGGTGGAGGCGGAGGTGGCGGCGGAGGTGGTAGCGGAGGAGGCGGTGGGAGCGGTGGGAGCGGCGGTCCAGGTGGGGGAGGTGGCGGTGGAGACGGGGGTGGCGGTGGAGACGGGGGTGGCGGTGGAGGCGGGGGTCGGAGTGGCTCGTCCCAGCGGAGCAGCTCTGGGGGTGGTCAGCGCCAGCAGCAGCAGCAGCAGCAGCAGCCGCAGCAGCAGCAGCGCTCTCGCACCGTCCCCGGCCCTCAGCAGCTCCGTGAGTGGTACTTGCAGCGTCAGCGCGGTGGTGCGCTTGGTCCCTGCCCCTACGTTCTTCGCACCGGTGACCGTGCAGGGGAGCGGTGTGGAGGCGCCCACACAGCCCGTCGCTGCTTTGGCCGCCTGACCGACGCCTGGCGTCAGCAGTTTCCGGAGGCCGCTGAGATCCCCCGCTGGGGAGAGCTGTCTAGGGCTGGAGTAGCTATTTATGATCTTGACTTTGATGCTATTCTCTCTGCTATGTATGCTGTGACAGGTAGTGATGAGGATGACTGTTACCGGTGTTTCCCGCCCGACCCGGGCATTGGTACTGCCGCGTCAGGTACTAGTGAGGCTGCTGCTCTAGGTGCCAGTGCGTCTGTGCTCTCAGGTGCTGGTGAGTCCGCCCTCTCAGGTACTGTGTCGGCTTCGGCCTCTCACACCTTTCCCCTTGACTCTGGAGCGTCTCGCTCCTTCTTTAGGGACCGCACCACTCTCACGCCGCTGAGTCGGCCGGTTGCGGTGTCCCTGGCGGACCCCTCTGGGGGGCCGGTCCTGTCTCGCTTCTCCACTGTCCTCCCGTGTCCGGCGGCCCCCTCTGGCACCCTGACTGGTCTCTACCTCCCCTCGTTCTCGACGAACTT